GTGGACTGATAGTGAAAGGGTGTGCTTGCTTAAGTACTTGTCTGGGTCGATGCAATCTTTACTGATCAGGCAAAACACCTTGTCCCTGTTGAAAAAGGGCCCTATAAAATGTAAGATGGAGTTGCTTATGTCCGAGGTGCTCTATACAATGGCACAGTCCAATAGGACCTTCTGAGGTGGTGGAAATGTTCTGCATCTGTGCTGTCCCATGTCACAGACACAGAACACGTGTGGCTCCTGAGCCTGTGGTGTGACTGAAGGATCAGTGTTGGCCGTGTGTACTTGTGAGCTCTTTAAGCTGACACAGCTCCATGCGGCCAGTGGCTGCTGGGCTCCTCAGTGCAGATGCGGCCATTGGGGCTGCCACCCCTGGACAGTGCATGAGATGCTCACCAGCGTCGGTGGGCCACAGGCGGCACTCAGCTTCCCGCTCCTGAAGCAGGCGCCTCACTCTTGCTCATGGAGCTACCACAAATGGTGACACTGAGGTGTGCAAACACTTGGTGTCATGCCCTGCGCTATGACCATTTTGTTAAAATATCCCCAGGAAGAGAACCCCGAGGGGACCGAGCTGTCTCTCTCCGTGGAGGTAAAAGGAGAACTGGACTAGAAGAGGCAGGTGGCTCTCGATAGAATGGGCAGCCCTGCAGGGCACCTGCCTTTCTCTGCCTTGACTTTAGCTCCGAAGGCGGGACGGCTGCATGAATTGCAGACTCCTTTGAAATGCTTTCATTCCCCAGATGTACCAATTACATGACCCATGAGGAGGATTCTTTAAAACAGCTGCTGTGCGTGATGAGTCTTCCTTGGTGTTGGGGACTGTGTGTATTTCTCCGCTTGGCTTGTTGGTGTCCACGTGGCCTCTCCTAGGCCAACCTCATCTCTCCTCCCTCTCAGGTGGCATGATGCTCATGGTCACTTATGCCCCAGAACGCTCCTGGCAGAAGAGGGAACAAAGAAAAGAGCTGGGGTGTTTTTGCCTTCCCTGTAATTTGCCTGAGTTTTTGGGGTTTTTTGTTTTGTATGAGATGGAGCCTTGCTCTGTTGCCCAGGCTGGAGCGCAGTGATGTGATGTTGGCTCACTGCAACCTCCCACTCCTGGGTTCAAGCAGTCTTCTGCCTCAGCCTCCCGAGTAGCTGAGACTACAGGCATGAACCACCACACTCAGCTAATTTTTTTTTTTTGTATTTTTAGTAGAGATGGGGTTTCCCATGTTGGCCAGGCTGGCCTCAAACTCCTGACCTCAAGTAATCCACCCACCTCGGCCACCCAAAGTGCTGGGACAACAGATGTGAGCCACCATGCTGAGCCCTGAGTTTTTAAAATCTATTTCAATCAGAGTTGACGAATTATTTTGGTGTCATGTAGCCTCAGCTTGGTAATTTACAGAGTGTGATTTCTTTATGCTTCTAAATTAAAATCTGTGAAGATTTTGGGGGAGTGCCCTGGAGCCTAAATCTTCGCTTCTTTGGGGCTGTGTAATGCTAACGCAGTTTCTAAAGATGGAAGGCAGTGCTTTCACGTGCCTATGTGGTCCGGGGCAGCGGTTCCCCAAGCACTGACTAAGATCAGGAAAACCTCACTGTTGCCATGGGCCTCTCCGTCACCACCACGAGACAGACCCAGCAGGAAGCAGAGTCATCAGAGTCCCCGGCAGGGAGAGGGGAGGAAGACACTTCATCTTCTCACGAGAAGCAATGGAGGCACAGTGGGGCTCGCGTGCAGGCAAAGCAGCCGTGTGCAAACTCAGCATGCAGCTCAGAGCCCCGGGTGTGCAGTCGGCATTGGGGATTCCAGACTCCAGCAGCCCCTCACAGGATGGTTCTGTGAGTAGATGTGTTTTAACCTCTTGGAGCCTGAGCTTTGTCCTTCGTAAAATGGAAATGACATATAGCAATAGCACCATCTGTAAACTGAAAATAAAGAAACTAAAACGTAAGTAAACACACACGGGCAGATTTTTTATTTTTGTGCAAGGATATGTTGGGACCCATGGCTGCCACACTCCCTGAGGTCAGTGGCTGGGCTGGGCACTGGGGAAATGACCGCTCCCCAGCCTGGCTCTGCTGCTCAGGGGTCTTGGACATGGGCGGGTTTGTCACATGTTGGACCTCCAGAGCATCTCCTGCAGAGACAGCTCCTTCTGAAGCTCGGCAGTCCCAAAACCAGCTGCCTGACACCCCCAAAGGCACATGGGCCATATGTGATGAGGTGCAGCTGGGCAGATACCCAGACTCCACAGGGCATGCCCTCCAAACTACACAGCCTGCATGCTGCATGGCATCCATACTGCACGTCCGCCCCCCTGGATACCCTGCCCCTGAATGTCCTCCCTCCTTCATGTTCTCCACCCCACATGTCCTCCCCGCTGCATGTTCTCCACCCCCCGCACATCCTTCCCCCTTCACGTCCTCCACCATGTATGTCCTCCATGATGCACATCCTCCCCACTTCTGGTCCTCCTTCCTTCACACCCTCCCTCCTGCAGGTCCTCCCCCACTGCACATCCTCCCACCCGCACACCTTCCCCACTGTTTATCCTTCCCACTGCACATCCTTCTTGCAGATTCCAGACGCCAGCCCCCAGGCCAAGAAGTGAATGTCTCACCTGGACAGCCTGAGCCTTACAACTCCCTCATGAATTATGCGCCCCTGTGGGCAATTCCTCTTTTCTCGCCACTTAGCCATAATGATGGCAATTTTCATATCCCCTCACTGTTCAGAGACCATATGCGGTAAGAGAAGTCTCACAAGCATGGCTCTGTGGACAGAGGCTTTGCAGCCCCAGACACTTGTGGGAGCAGTGACTCCTTGAGCTGTGGCCGGCAGGAGGGGCAAGGCCAGGAGCTGGCCCTGTGGCCTGAGCAAGTCGCTTGCCCTGTTGGTGGAGTGGCACTTCAGATCCCTGCGCCGCAGGCCTCTGGGACGAGCAAACAGCCAGCCCAGGCTCCATGCGAGGGCACCTGGGAAGTCCTTATTGTTGGACTGAGCCCGTGAAAATGCACCATACCATGGAGCCTCAGGTCTCAGCACAGCACAGCGGCTGCTGCACGGTCACGAGAGGCTCTGATTGGCATTTTACCTGTGTTTAATTAACAAAAATAGGAAAGGGTGTCGTGGTCACTTGCAGGCTTCCCAGTGTCTATTGGGAGGAATGTCTGAGGGTGCTCAGGGTGAACACGGGTCTGGGCTAGCATCCACGAATGTGTGGCACTCACGGGGTGGAGCCACCTGCACTTTTGTCTGGCTTTGCAGGGACTGTCTGCCCGGAAGCCACCTGAAGAAACGGCCCTGTCACTGCCGTGCGCTTCCAGTGCATTCTCGAACCTCTCCAGCCTGCGGCAAGAGGCCTCTGCTTAACAACCCTGGGCAGCTGGCAGACAGCTAGGAAGGCAGGGCCTCCTCTGAGAGGAAACGCGCCGCTACTCTTCTAGGAAACCATATCTGGAGTAAGATAGGCTCCATCGTTGCATAGGACAAATGCCTAGGCAGAGTGGCCCTGGCGTTTGGAGGAGTTGGTGTGAGTGCTCTGTATTTTGATTAGGAAAGAGCCCAGCTAGTGACAGCCAGGAGGCACCCCCTGCACAAACACCCAGGCAGGCTCCAGCTGTTCAGCCTCCCGGAGGCACCATGCGCCCTTTGTGGGGAGGGCGGGGCCGTGGTTCTCTTCATTAGGTCACCACTGGAAGCATCTGAACTGCTTTTTAAAACTACTGGGGAACTGCAAACCAAAGACACATATTGTCACTTGTAAGTGGGAACTAAATGCCGAGGACTCACGGGCGCAAAGAGAAGAACAACAGGCACAGACCCTGGGCCTACCAGAGGGTGGCAGGTGCGGGGAGGAGGGAAGGGAGCAGCAGGAATAACTACGCACGCTAGGCTGGTACCTGGGTGATGAAATCATCTGTGCACCAAACCCCCGTGACATGCGTTTACCTATAAAACAAACCAGCCCCTGAACCTAAAAGAAAAGCTTTTAAAAATATAAAACTAAAAAATCAAATTCCTGTGCCAGTTTCCCCTGATTCCCTGCTCCCAGCACACACCTCCTCCATCAGAACCCCACGGAGAGTCTCACTCAGCCCCTGCCGCCAGGACACAGAACAAAAGGGCGTGACGGAGGCTCACAGAGCTCTCCTCTGTTCAGGAAGCTGCCCTCACGCTTGGGGTGGAAATCAGACCCAACCTATGTCTTGACTCAGTTCAAAGTCAAGGGACACTTGAGAGACATTCAGGGGACAGTGTCCTCCGTCGCTCCATGCCAGCCTCTCCTCGTCCTGTCCGGACCTGAGAGTCCCTGGTGCCGAGAGTCCCCAGCGCTGAGAGTCCCCAGTGCCAAGTCCCCAGTGCTGAGTCCCCAGTGCCGAGAGTCCCCAGTGCCAAGGGTCCCCAGTGTGTCCTCAGAACTCACTGACAGTGCATGGTGGCCACGGGGCCATTTCTACAAGCGGCTTTCCAGCCGGCAGTCCCTGCAAAGTCCCCAGTCCCATCCTCAGAGAGATGACAGCTTTGTCCCCACCATCTGGGCTCTCACATCCCAGGGATCTTAGACACACTGCTTTCTTTTTTTTTTTTTTTGAGACGGAGTTTCGCTCTTGTTACCCAGGCTGGAGTGCAATGGCGCAATCTCGGCTCACCGCAACCTCCGCCCCCTGGGTTCAGGCAATTCTCCTGCCTCAGCCTCCTGAGTAGCTGGGATTACAGGCACGCGCTAGACACACTGCTTTCTGTAGGATCTCATCTGCAAGTGAACGACCTGAGAGCCCCGTACTTGGCACCAGTATCTTACTGTTCTTGGCAAGCGTTTCCTTGGCGGGGCCGCCCTTCCTGGGAGGCTGTGTACTGGCAGCAGTGACAATGGCTCAACCATCAGCAACTGCGGCTGCCCCCCAGGGAGGGCCTGCGCCAGCCAGACGCTTTCCCACGTCCCTGGGCCCCCAGGATGATCCTTTACTAATCTCCTCTCCTGTCCTGTCCTGCCGGTTCTCTCTTGCAGAGCGACTACTCAAGTGACACAGAGAGTGAGGACAACTTCCTCATGATGCCCCCACGGGACCACCTGGGCCTCAGCGTCTTCTCCATGCTCTGCTGCTTCTGGCCTCTGGGCATTGCCGCCTTCTACTTGTCTCACGAGGTAAGGCCGCCTCGGTCTGTCGCACATGGCGCTTGTGCTCAGGTGTTGACGTGGTAATCCTGGCCGAGGAGGAGAGCCAAGGACGCCCGACAGCGGCTGCTACGGCGGGGTAGGCACTTGCCCAGTTGGAGGATAGGCTGGGAGAAGTCAGGGCGCCTTGGGGGCTGCGTGGAGCCATTCGGGCTGCCTCACCCCAGACATGGCCCTGTCCTCACAGAGGCAGCTTGCGTTCGGAAGAGGCTTCGGGACCGAAGCAGGTGTCTGCTGGGTAGAAAGCACATGGCCTTTGGGAGCCTGGCCTTCATTTAGGTGCTGGGGTTGTGTGCGTGGACTGATCTGATCCCAGGGCCGGGAAACACTGTGCCCAGAGGGCTACGTTGACCTTAATGAGAAAGAAGAAAAGGCAGGTTCGGATTTTCTTGCTAAAGGCTCATTCCTATAAAATAGATCCCAGTTCCAAGGCAGCCCCCATATATCTGCCCCAGGGGAACGCCCTGCTTGTGGAAATGGCACATCTCAGCATGGCATCTGCTGTTCCTCCCCAGCACAGAGCTTCTAAAGGTTTTGCTTCCCAGCCCTTTTTACTACAAAGCATCCTGTTTGTTGCCCCTTTTGCAGCTTACGTTTTGAAAATATTGGAAAGATTTTTCTCTACCAAATGCAGAGCATTCATTCAGAAATCAGCTGTATTCACATTTTCATTAATCAGAGAAAGACATTTCTGCTTGCCAATGACAGAGTGGGCTGATGGCATCACCATGGCCCTCTGCTACCTGCCCAACCAAGACAGGGAGAAAGGGCACTTCTCTGCTGGCCCAGGATGTGGGGTGGCACTGGGCACCTTGGGGTGTTCTCAGGGAGGGCTGAAGATGCCTAGAAGGCACAGAGGGTCTCGCTCCAGCTTCTTAGGTTCTGGGAGCAAGGCTGCATGCAACTGGGCCTGGCAGGTCCTGCGTCTGAACAGATTCCCTGGCTCAGCCCAGCAATTGCTTCTTGATGGTTTCTGTATTGGTTGGGTTTGCCGGACGGGTGAGAGGAGAACCTGCCCCTGCCTTTATGGGGTTTCTGTTTTCCCTGGAACACCTTGAGTGGTGACCGGCCCCTCTTCCTGACATCCAAGAAGGAGCAGGGGAGAAGGCTGGGTGGCCTGTGATCCTCCTGAGGGCAAGTGCTTCTTGACAGGGCATGAGCAGTTGGGAAGGCAGGGGTGGAGCTGGAGGGGCACGGTGGGGAAATCTTGACCCGCTGGGGCTGGGCTAAGCAGTTGTTCCAGACCCGGCTTTGACATTGAGGGTCTGTCCGAGCTTTTCTTATGACTTTGTCCCACAAATGCCACAGACCTCTTTCTTCAGCGGCACAAGCATGGGGTGGGAAGCCTGACTCCTGGGTCTGGCAGGGCCTGGTGGCTATGGAGTGGAGGCAGGCACAGGTGAACCCCAGCTCCAGGGTGAGGTCCCAGACTGGGACACACAGGAGCTGGAGAAATGGGTGTGGGCGGCACAGGCCTGCAGTGGGCAGAGCCTGCTGTGCCATGTAAACTGCACCATGATGCTGCCCACGGACAAGAGAAGTCCTGCGAAGGAAGGAGAGATCCGGCCCTGGGGCTGGACAGGTGACATCAAACGTGCCCCCAAAGCCTCCCTTGTACACCCCAGTCCTGCGTCATCTCCATGTGAGGAAAGATAGGGACACACCCACCTTCACGGGGCCCAGCGTCTGAGACACCCATGTAAAAGTGCCACAGAGTGCTGGATGGATGGAAGCCCTGGACGAACGGGAAGGGGTCACAGGCAGAGGCCACCTGTGCGGCCCAGGAGAGACCAGTCCTTTGTGGCGTCTGTGGTCTCTGCTGAGCCGTGTGTTCGGGTCGAAGCCCCAGTCTCTGGTCCAGGGCAAGCTGTGGACAGTGTCTCTATATCCATCATTATAATAAAACGCAAGGCTCAGCTGCAGAGACTGCGTCTAGAGTCTGTTTCCCACAAAGTGATTATATTCTGAACACAGTAAGAGCCTCTCAGGCTTGGGTCTGAGGACATGTGGTTGGTACATTAGATGGCAAAGAAGATTTTGATTCCTTGTCTAGCTGCAGATGGGAAATGCTGAGGCTTCTGATCACATTTTTCGGAGGTGAAGTGCAAACGTCTTGGGGGTGTCAGTGTTGCCTTCACTGCGGGTGTAGAGGGGAGCTCTCGGCCGCTGCCTGCAGCTGTGCCACAACAGAGAAGGGGTGCTGACACTTTTATATGGATACCTGTGCAGGTGAGTCCCCTCTGCAGGGCCTGTATCTGCATCCCTCTCCGATCACAGCTCCCTTCCCAGGCGGCTCCCCCACCCCACCCCCCTTCTGTGGCGGTGGCTCCCGGCGCTGCTGCAGATCCAGGAAACAGGCAGCCCTGAACGGGAGTGCTGTTTACAGCCCACACTGCAGACGTGTGTCTCCAGCAGGCCAGCGCCGGGGAGCCAGCAGCTGCCAAGGGGAGACAGTGTGGCACGGAATAGAACAGCTGCGATCTGAGGAGCCTCGCACTGAATTAAATCAGTGCTTTCCTAGGCGAGGCCAGCTGGGAGTGCAAAGCCCAGGACTGGAGAGGGGGAGCCCGGAGCCTTCTCTGCCACGGTGGCCAGCATCTCCGGCCACCTTGTTGGGTCAAGGGGACGATGCACCTGGGCGGAGAGCGTGTTGTGGAGCGAGGCTCTCTCCGCCCTCAGTGCCCATCACAAGGAAATCTTTGGTATCTCAGCGTGACTTGGGGTTTTTTCCTTTTATCTCAGATCATAGCACAGTGTACTCGCTGACAGTTAGGCTGTGTCTGCTCATTGTCAAAATGACTGTTCAGTGAAGTCAAAGGAACGTGCCAGGCCATTTCAGAAAAGCAAAACAACAACTTACGGTGGTGTGATTAAATCAGGCAGTGGAGGAAGGCAGGGATGCCATCTCTGGAATCATACACCTCAGTCACGTTCTTCTGTCCTGTTGTAGCCTGGTCCCATTTAGCCGGCAGCTCTCCCGTGACTCAGTTTCCTGACCCATGCAATGACCCATGCAATGGTTGGCTGAGGGTCAGAGATGTGAGGGCCAGTGAGAGTCCCCAGGAGACAGCCTCCATCTCCTTGTGGATGCTGCTGTGGCCTCCTGGGAGGGGTGGTGGTTCGTGGTGACCCACACTGCAGTCGCTGCTGGGAATCTCATAAGCAGTGGGAAACTGCGAGGTGTCTTTTGGAAGAATGACCCTGGGCTTCGGTTGAGGTGTGAAAGGAAGTGGGAAAGGAGGGATGGCCTCGGTTCTAACGCTGCTCAGGTGTGAGTAGTGCTGTCGTGCACACATGATCTCATGGGAACTCCATGACGTGGGTGCTGAACTCAGGGTTCAGTGAGGTTGAGTGATGTGCCTAAAGCCAACACTGGTAAGCAGTGGACCCGGGCTGGCGGGACGGGCCGGCTCAGTGGGCTGGATGGGCTGGCTCAGTGGGCCCGAGCTGGCGGGACGGGCCGGCTCAGTGGGCTGGATGGGCTGGCTCAGTGGGCCCGGGCTGGCGGGATGGGCCAGCTCAGAGGTACCCACCTTGTCTGGGGCAGGCATCCGGCTTGTCCCTGAGCTGTGGGGTGGGGTGGGTGGGCAGGTGAGGGCAGCATGCTGTCTACAGCTTCGCTTTGCCCAACAGTGCTCCATCCAGCCCACCTTGCAAGCACGCTTGGCAAATCAGTTCATACAGAGGCGGGTGCGGTGTGTGGGATTATGGTGGCGTGGCTCCATCTAGGAACTGACATTTCTGAATGATGCTGAGGATAGATGTGAATCCCATAATTGGCTGAGTGGCTGCTGTCAACTAGTTAATGCACACACTTTATCTTATTTAATCTTCACAGTGAGTCCAGAAGGTGGAAAATTATTATCTTCATTTTCTAGATGAACAAAACTAAAGTTTCAAGGGATTTAATAACTAACAGAAATCACAGAGGCAGCAAGTATGAATACATGAGGGAAATACTAATATTTCTAACCCTTAAAGCCACATCTTCTGCAATATAGCTTTGACTTTTATCTGTTTGCAAACAAAAATAGAACCACAGTCCTTGCTTCTAAACTCCCAATCTCCCCACCCTGCTTGGAGAGGCTGGCAGGGGAGGAAGGAAAGCCCGTTCGAGCGGGGTGTAGCATTGGTCCTCAGGACGCTTCACTGCATCCCGTGTGATGGGGGCAGCTGGCGACTGAAGCCGGAGCCCCTCCTCAGGTGGGCCCTGGAGCTGGACCCCTGCCGGGGGGGGGGGGGGGGGGGGGGGGGGGGGCCTGCGGCTCCGCGTGGCGATTCTACCATAGACATCTTTGCATCCAAGCATTTACTATGTCTTGATCTAATTTCATTTCATAAAATGTTTCTTTACTAATTGCAACATTTTAGCAATAATTAAATGATAAAAGGGTATTAGGAACCAGATTATGAGTTTGATGAATAGTACCAGCAAAGGGAATTGGGTAAATTAGGGGAAAAAGCAAATCTTTTTATGGTACTGAAAATCTAGAACCGAGAGTGCAACCTGGCTAATAGCAAAGCCCCTTGGAATTCATTCATTTACCCACTGATTAGTGAGCACCTCCCACGTGTTCGGTAAGCGCCAGGCACGCGGCCGGTGGTGAGCAGAGCGCAGCAGATCCTGCTCCTCGGGCCGCCAGCCTCTTCCTTGCAATGTCAGCTTGACTTTTCTCCTTTCTACTCACTGGCTATTAGCTGCAGGTGGACATGGGGGGCGTGGAGCTGGGAGAACGTTTTAAACAGGTTGGCCGTGGCGGGTTCCCGGAGAGGATGGTGTCTCCTGATGAAGCTGCAGGAGCAGCCCTTGGGGAGGAGCTTCCGGGTGGAGAGGCCAGCAGTGCCAAGGCCCTGGGGGCACTCCGGGGCAGGTGGGGATGGCGGGGCGGGGCAGGGGCTGTGGGTGTGGAAGTGGGGAATGGGGTGAGGGGGTGACTAATGAGGCGAGGCCAACAGGGGCGGACCCCCGG